GTTTTAAGCAAGGAAAAAGAGGACGAGAGAAGCTCACGGGATATCTATCATGGTGCTCACGGGCTTCCCTGTTAGATTTACACAAAATATATCCAGCAATAACTTTAGAGGTTGGATGCATTCATTCTCTTTAGCTAACCATTGGTGCCCACATTTTGCTTGTTAGTACTTGAGACATTGCACAGAGATTTAAATGTACCAAAAAAAATCTAGCAGAGACTGATTACAAGTAATGATCACATGTACATGTGGTGGCTGTTAATGTTGTGCTTTTGTTTTTTCTTGATATACTTCTGGCGTGTAAATGTTGAATCCAGGTCGAAGGTGATTTTTTTTTTTTTTTTACCACACCTCTATGTAATTAATGATTGATTAATAGGAATATCCTTTCCCTTGAAATTCCTCTCATCTCATATTTTAAAACTTGTACGTTGAGCTACAATAACAATTAAGGGTAGAACTATTGATAATTGTCCCATTCACAATTATCAACTAAGACTTTATCTTTAAAGTTAACAGACATTAATTACCTATTATTCCTTGAAAAATCGTAAACAAAACAACAATTCTACTAAAAGTTTGGGCTCATTTTTACAATAAGAAAATATTTTTTCTTATCAATGATCTAAATAATTCATTAGTAATTTTTTTTAGTGAAGATAAAATATTTTAATTTGAAATCATATAACATATAAATGAGATGAGTTAAAAGTAAAAGAGAATTACCTTTTATTATTGCATAATTCAAAATAAAAAAAAAAATATGATAGAGATCAAATTTATTTTCTTTAATTTCAAAAAAAGAAAAAAAATATCAGAACTTGAATATATTACTCAGCACTGGCTTTATTACATGAAGGTATACATAAATGCATCATATGGCGATCACATGGGTGCATTGCCTCAGGCTCTCCGAAGAAAGCTTTGGTCCACAGCACTAGGTAAAAATTTATGTTCACTTTCCTCCTTTTGTAAACGCTGCCTCATCTTGAAGATCATAACACAAAACCATCTAATTGCCACCCATTAATTTCAAAGTCTTGATTCTAAGATCAACATCATGGCTTCCAACTTCTAAGATAGTTTAACGTTTCAACTTTCCTCATGCATCAAAGGGAAAAAATTTGCAGAGTAACATATTATATATGGTCTTTAAGACAGCGCGGTGGTAAGGGGTTAGTAACTGTTGAAGAAAATTATTGCGCAAATTACAATGCCCGTGCAATTTGATAGATTGATTGATGTTAATTAGCAAGGACATGCGCTGAATTGGAACAATATCACAAGTTTACACAAATTATCCAATCAAGGAATATTCTCTAATGATCTAATTGATTTTCCATAGGAAATCTGGTGAATTGGTTGGCAGTCTGGCACTACTGGCTCAGTAGTAATCATCACTCAATTACTAGAAAAGAAATTTTGGATTATAAAATTTAATAGTTGGGACTGATGTCAACAATACTGTAGTTATAATATCATATAAAATTCTGAATTTACAATTATGATATAACATTAAATAAATTAACATATACAATATTATGAGTGAATTTTTAAACAAAAAAATTAATTATATAAAGATATAATATATAATAAACTTACAATATCGTATGACATTGTTATTATATCATTTTTCAAACTAATATACACTATTTTCTTATATTATGATATAAAGTTACAAACAGATGAAGTTAGTAGGTGTTTCCTACAGCAAGCTCCGTTGACAGAATTCCTTTAGAGTGATTACCTAAATGTTTAATTACTGACAATATTTTATAATGATTAAAAAAAATATGAAGAACATATGTTTGTAAATTAATTAATAATATATAAGATATTCTTGGATTTATATTTATTTAATTTTAGAATAAAAGAAAAACCAAATAGGCATAGAAATTAGATGCAGCAAGTTGCCACTTGCCCACCTCACTAAAAAGAAGTAATTATTACGAACAAGCAAGGGATGGGTGGAAACATGGACATCATCCATTAAGTTTGGGTTGTGGGTCAGTTAGAAATTTCCATCTCTTTTTTATGTGTTCAAGCTGGAGACCAACGTCCCATCCCTTTCGTTCTTATCCTTTAGAATTCAAATCCTCTAAAATATACCATGAAACAACAACAATAATAATAAAACTTAACCCCCAAGGGAAGAGCCAGAGTATCCAAATTGAGGGCCTCAAATTCGAATCTTGAGTTGAATGGAGAAGGATTTGGGAAAAATAAAAGGTTGTTTTTTCTTGTATAACCTACCACTAAATGCACCAAAAAGAAAAAAGAGAAAAAAACTTAAACAAGTTGGGAGTCTAACCTAATTTGAGGCCTTGATTACAGAGTTAAAATCAATAATAAAACTTAAACAAGTTGGAGTCTACCTAATTTGAGGTCTTGATTACAGTGTTAAAATCAGAACTCATATATCTGCAGTAACTTTGTTATGAAGATGTAGGCCTATTTTATTAAGAACTGAACATATCAGAACGAATGTACTCTTATCAAGTTGCACATAGGTTTAAAATGTGAATTTCGTGTAAATACAAACCGTGGGAAATACAATTTTACAGCTGAAGAGAAAAGCAAAAATTCACTAACCAATCTATATTTGAGTGATTGAAATTCCCCTGGATTTCCTTAAAACAGAATGCTCTCACCCTGAAACAAACAATGGAAAAAATCAAAGACAATGTTGATAAGCTACACCTTAACAAATTACTTGAAGATACTCAATCATGATCAATTAGCAAAACCTAAAAAACGAAGATATAGTTCAAAAATATTCCAGTAAGATGTGTTTTCTAATATCAGTATCAGACAAATTTAATAATGATAGTAATAATAATAATAACTAATAACTAAGAAGAATGCAATTCCATTGCCCTTGAATGGAGGACATACATATTGGAAAGAATGCTCTAAAAGAAAGGTGAATGTTATAAATGCTGTACAGTAGAAATTTCATATGAGAGACTTCAATCCCAAATAGGATTGGTAGCCTGATGAAAAAAATCAGAGGTTTCCAAGATTCAGCCACAGAATAAGCATCAACTATGCGAATTTAATCATTCTCCTTTGATTTTGCTTGTTATTGCAAGCAGAACATCAAAGTAGATGGATAATATCTTACGAATCCTAGTACCTACAATTAAGCGTAAGGAACCATGTTCTGTTCCTGTAAATGTTCCAAGCAATCAATAGACAACTACCAAAGACATTCTAAACCACTTTCACTGCAATGAGTCTTAAAAATCATCATCTTTCAAAATGGCTAAGCATAGAAGAAAATGTTACAATCAAAGAATAATGACTAACTAGCTAGATCTTTTGCCTGTATTAATAGGAACCATTATAGCTTACCAATAATAATAATAATAATAACCAAAGGAGACACTAGCCAGTACTTTATTTATTTTGACAATGAAATAAGCCATCTAGTTTAAATTTTCACTTCAGATTAGTTAGCTTCAGCAAGAAATATCAGGCACAATTATCTTCATGATTCATGTGTTTCTAATTTAGACCACTTAATTTATATGAAGTCTTTTGGTTAGTAACATCTTTGGTAATCATGCCTGATAACAGTGTCCCACCTTGAATCTGAGTCTTTTGTGTATCCAATCAAACTGGATTGAAGAAATCAAGATTTCAAAATTCTAATCTACGTGACTGAACACTAACAACAGTTAAAACTGCAACATGCCAGCACATTCAACAACAATTGTTAAACTATTTATGCACAAATTCCTACCCCATGCAACTCCGGTGAAAAGCAGCTATGGCTCATTCTTGACAAGGTCTTCCACAGAACTTCGGTAATTTGCAATCAGATCCCTGGCATTGAAATAAAGGGGCATGCAATTGATTCAGCAAGCAGAGACTTGATGTAGAAATGCAACAAAGTGCCATTTACTCACCTCCTTTGATTCAGCATTTGTTCATTTTCCTCCAGCTTTTTCTTCTGTTCCTCAACAGTCTACATACAAGTTCCCATATCCAGAAATTCCCAAGTTATATACTAATTCTAATATACTCACAACAACAAAACAAGTTCCAATGTTATCTCAATCCAGTCAAGGAGAATTGTCAGAAATTAAGGTCATACACAATTATTTACGAAAATTCAATTACTCTGTACTGTTTATTTGTAAGAACCAGACATCATGAGCAAAGCAAGCAAGTAAAATAGAGATCCTCGGCACAAAAGAAAAGAATAATGAAAATGGATAGCAGCAAGAGCAATAATAGCAACATCTAACAAAAGCTTGCAGAATAGGTTCACAACATAGATTGGTTGAAGAAAAGAACCATATTCTTCAAAAATTCATATCATGGGGTCTCCAAAAACAACTATAAAATGGAGAATGCAACTTATCAACAAAACATCAAAATACACAGAGAGCACAAGAGTTCAATTACCATAGACTTAGTACTAATGGATCCAGCAATTGAGTTCAAAAGCTGCTGGCACTTCTCAAAGTGGTTGCCCAAGTCATTGATCTTACCAAAAAAAATAAAAAATAAAACTCAGTATATAAACATATGAAGATAAACAAAATTTCATAGAAAAGGTCTAATTTCCAATTCCATAAAGAAACATCCTACTCTGTCAAACCATGAAAAAAAAATGCAGAAAAAAATGAACTCAGAAGAAGAAAAGAAACTAACCAAAGCATCAGAGTGCTGGTCCCTGTTTCCATTGTCAATAGCCTTGGCTAAATTCTCCACCAACTGCAGCAAAAATATATATCAAACTTCCCTTTTTTTCTTTTTTTTTTGTTGTAAAACAAATTGCGGATATATTACTAAATTAGGGTTTAGGTGATTGGAGTACGTGTAAGAGATGGAAGTGAGATGCTAGAGACTGGTGGCGTTGAGTCTGCTGTTGCTGTTGCTGTTGCTGCTGCTGCTGCTGCTGCTGTTGTTGCAGTAGAAGACGCTGCTGCGGTTGAAATTGCTGCTGCTGCTGCTGTTGTTGTTGAAACTGCTGCTGCGGTTGGAATTGCTGTTGCGGTTGAAATTGCTGCTGCGGCTGAAACTGTTGCTGTTGTTGAAGATAGAGATCCTGACTGGAGGGAGTGGAGGCGTTACTGTGGGTTGGAGCGCTAGGGATCATAGTCCAGCTCCCTCCTCCTCCGTACGGATCCATCGTTATCTCTCCCTCCCTCCCTCCCTATCTGGAGTGTACACGATTCAACAGGAGCACGACGGCGACGCCGGCGGAGGCCCAATTACAGAGCGCTAACTTCTGTTCTGTGTCGTTCCTGAATTCTGTGTTGAATCTGGGCGGGATCACTCACCCCACCCAAACCTTTTGCAGCGTAAACAAAAAAGACAGAGAAAACTGATAGTTTGGTCCCTGAATTTTCATGAAGT